GGGGGTCTGCCGGGGGAGAGCCGGGGCTGAGTCCTTCGCCCGAGGGGGTGCGCAGAGCGGGGCTGGCTCCCGGCGCCCTACCTTGAGCATGGCCTGCTGGTCCTCGCTGTACTCCACCTGGGCCTTGGAGAGGTTCAGTATGGCCCTCTCAACTGCATCCTTGTCTGAGTTGTAAATGTAGACATATGGGCGTCGGACCACCACGAAGCGCTTCACCCACCCGTTGGTGTGGGGCTCCAGAAAGTGCAAGTAGCCCTTTTTGGAGACGATGGGGCTGCAGAAGGGACTGAGGTCACGGTTGGGACATGGACCACGAGGAGGTTGCAATGGTAGGGCACGGTCCCCATCAGCCCCAAGCACTCCCCTCGCTGGCTGCCCCAGCTGCTCCTACCTGACCCGCATCTCCTGGATGTCGGGCACCAGCAAACGCTGGGGCTCCTTCTCCTCCTCAGGCCGGCGGGCTGGAGACTTCTTCTGCTCTCCTTCTACCACAGGCTCCAGGTCAGGGCTCTCTGCCCTGGGGGAGACCTGGGCGGGTCTGGGGAGGGAGGAGAGGCTGGGGGTGTAGGAAGAGTGACAGCTGAGGAACACCCATCGACCAGGACCGCATACAGCTGCCCTGCTCAGGGGCACCAGGATATCACTTGAACCTCCCGTCCACCTTCTTACCTGACCTCCATGGCATTGTAACGTCCTTCCACCAGTGACGGGCAGGTCGAGGAGGGGGTGAGAGTGGTGACCCCAAGAGCTGGCATGGAGGGGTCTCTCATCAGGGTGACAGACATTTCGGACAGCTGTGGAGGAGCGGAAGTGTGGACTTGAGTTTCTGCCTGAAGCCAGGCACAGGCAAAGGACCAGGTGCCTGCTTATACAGGGAGAGGCAAGACCTCTGGCCTGCCACCAACTCCGGGAACACCAGGGCAAGTGGAGGGAGCAGGGACCCTGGAGCAGGCACCACTCCCACCATAGTGCCCATCTGGCCCGTGCCCAGCCCGTCGTCCCCCCTGGCCATGCATGGCCCCCGGCCCCTGCCAGCCTGGTGGAGCCCAGCACAGTGGTGGTACCTTGCTTTCACTGGCGCTAATGCAGACGTGGCTGTGGCTGTACTCCCTGTTGAAGGTGTGCGTGAGCAGGCGCAAGCACTGTGGAGAGAGGAGGACGGTGGAGCAGGAGGCACCCTCCTCCAGCCTCCTCCTCTCACTGCTCTTGGGCTTTCTCCTGCCACCACTCCTTGCCGCCCCATGGGAGCCCCTTCCCAGCTGCAACCCCGAGAGCTGGGGACACTGCAGGACGGTACCTTCACGGCCAGCTCCTTCTGCCTCTCGCTGGGGGTCTCAGGGGGAGAGGTGCGGCCCTCATGACCCCCATCAACAGAGAGCGGGGAGGAGACACAGGAGGTGCTTCGGGACTCGGAGTCCTCACTGGAGCAGGGGGACAGGGTCTCCAGGCCCAAGCGCTGGGTCGTCTCCAGCTTCTCGCGCAGGAGCAGGTAGTGCCTTGTCTTCTCCACCTGGGCACAGGCAGCCAGCCTCAGGGGTGGCCCCTGCCCCACGTGACCTCGCTTCCCAGGCCCCGTTAACCCCATCTGCGCGTTAGCTTTGGGTCTGCCGGAACCCAGCTAGCAGCAATGCCCAGGAGAGCACCGGTGGCACGGCCCCCACTCCTGCCTCCTCCCACAACCGGTGAGGAACCCCCCTGGCACCAGCGAGGCAAGAGGCTGAGCTGCGAATTGCACCATCTCGGCCCGTTTCTAGCTCGGACCCTTACTTCTTGCAGGAGACTGAGTTTCTCCAGCTCCCACTGATGGTCAAGGATGAGGCTGTCGCTGCGGGGCCGCCAGCCAGCCAGGTTCTCCTCTCCCCGCACGTAAGCTACTGAGGTGTCCAGCACACGCCGGCGCCGTCTCTGCATACCTGCAGGGACAGATATGCAGCTGGGGACACAGACGGACGGTCCCAGCCGCCATGCCAGGCCTCCCAGTCTGCCGGCGAACGCCCAGGCAGAGGCACGGCACCCACCTCCTGGGCTGCCAGCGTCAGCCACGCGGCAGAGGCTGAGCTCGTAGACTCCCGTCACGCGGTTGCTGCAAGCAAAGGGAGACGAGGTGTTACAGGCTCTGCCCCATCCCCACGCCCCAGTTATTTCGCTGGGGTTCCCCGGGAGGGTCCCAGCCCCCAGGTGATGGGTCTCCTCCCTCAGAAAGGCAGGAGCATCCCAGTCCCTCTCGGAAGCCCGCGGGCTGCCACTGCCAAAAAGGTTGCGGATGGAGCGGGAGGCAGGAAGCTTGGCGTCCCGGGAGTAGAAAACCATGCAGAAGTCTTTGGTGATGACGGCGGGCTGAGTGCAGGTCTTCATCTGCAGCGGGGGCGGCGGGGAGGCATCAGGGGGGCTGCAGCTTGGCAGCCCAGCAGGTCTCTCCCGCCCCTGGTTCCCAGTGGTTTCCAATCCCGGGGTCCCGCAGGGCCCCCAGGCACCAGGTTGAATCCCGCACCCCATTAGCATCAGCGCTGGCTAAGGAGGTGTTCACGCTGGCTGCACCCCAACAGTGGGGGGAATACCAGACTTTGTTGGCATTATAATGGCCCCGACTAAGGTCCTTGCCTCAATGTAGGCGGAAAGGGTGATGTAGATTTTCTCCCGGTATGGGGTGACACGGTTGAGCAGCAGCGAGTTGTGCATGGAGCTATCCCACGCCGCCTCAAACTGGTAGAAAGTCCTGCCGAAAAAAATAGCAGAGCCGGTAAAACAACCCTCCCAGAACCCCAGATGAGCAAGCAAGGAGATGCCATCGTGTCCCCCCCTTCCCAGTGCTGCGGCAGGCCTGCAAGGACACACAGACATGCACGTGCAGTGGGGACAGATGGGGACAGGCGCAGGTCCAGAGGACGCAGGTTCGAGGCAAATGGGGACAAGGCGTGGTGGGAGGGAGACGCGGCGCCCTCGAAACGGCTGACGGACCAGTGCATAGGGGAGGAGGGCCTGCAGGAGGAGTGGGGACTCAGCTGGGACGCAGGCAAGGCAGGGCAGGCTGGGAAGGCAAAGGAGGGTGCATGCCCCACCCCCATGCTCGGAGCAGGGGGGCTGCCACCCCCAGCGCGCCCAGGCCATGTCCCCACCATCCAGCCTGGGGCACGCAGGACCTCCAGGCCCCCAACAGGAGCGGCTGTCGCCGTTCGGGTACCGATGGCCAGAAAGGAAAGGAGGGA